GACTGGAACTTCACTGACAAGTTGAACGGGATTTCATCGAACACTGAAGAGTGTGAGCTCGAGATGATGGTGGAGAACGAGGAGGAGATGGAAAAGGAGGAGGAAATTCAGGCGATGAATCCGTGTCCTGAAGCAGAGTGGGAATACAGTAGATTCGAGGAACTAGTTCATGGGAAAATTACCGGAGTCCAGACTCAAGGACTTCTTGACGCTCTGCCTCAACTCCCCTTCAGGGTCGGCCTAAACACGATTCTTTTAACCAGTAACTTTCTTAAGACTGTCATTGATAGGGAGAACTATAGAAAAAACTCCAAGCTCATACTTAAGAACTCATTCAGATCAGTAACATACTTTTTGCTCATCGAGGACAAGAATAAAAATCCAACGAGGCGGGTTATTCTGCTGTCACCTCGGGAAGCAGACGGGATTGCCAGAGAGATAAACAAACGGAATTCCAGTGGAGACATCCTTGAAACGAGAGCAAGCCTGAAGACTCTGGGACTAGACGATGTCGCTGAATTCTCGGCCTTATTGAGGCTTCTGAATGGCGAGACGGGGATTGACACGAATTATGACAGGGAAGTTCTAAGGAGTGTTCTTACTAGAGCCAATGAAACCGAGTCGACGGTGATGAAGATCCTTGAGGCTCGAGGTACACTTCCACTGTATGAAGATTCTAGTCTTCAGAGCCTGCTCGAATTTATTGCACAGTCGACAAATATGTAGGCGACCCCGCCTTAGAAAGTAAGCTTAGTATGAAAAGATCTCGTGCTCGCCAAAATACAAAGACGTTTCACATGTTGATGCACAGCTGTCATTGCGAGTCTCTAGAATTCCACAATCAAAATAAAATATTTTCCCCCGATGTATTGTTCTTCATGCGATCGTGAATATCGGAGCCCCGCTTTTTCATCAGCTGTTCCATTGCTTGATCCAGACTGATAGCTACATCCCGTGCCCGACAAATGCCAACAACATCTACTCAAATACATCCTAGGGGTTTGAATGAACTGAGGAAATTTCGGTATCGATCAAAAAACCGAATAGTAAAGGGACAGGAAAGAAGGACGTCGCACTTCGACGTCAGAACAAATCAGTCTACGGTCGATGATTTCCTTTTCAACTCCACCACCAATTTACGCAGTCAACTTTCCTCAAGTCAGCTTTAATGACCTAATATTTAACGAACAGGCAAGCATCGGAAACCGTACGGAACTCGCAAGAACAGAGGCTCAATAGTCTGGGAGAGAAAGAGAAATAGAGAAACTAGGGAGTGAAGAAGTGAGAAGAGAACGTTCTAGAGGAAGCGCGGCACATTTAATATTACAGCAAATGTTTCACTAACACCTATTCTTCTCTTTCATCATTTCTGGGTATGTCCTTGCAGATGGAGGTATGTGTAGGACTCAGACACAAACACTCTTCCTTCTGCTTTTCCACCCGGAAGGCCAGCATAAATCAACGCTGGTTTCCAACAACATTGAATCACCTCATCTTTCTCCTATATCCTATCCATTTTCCCTCCACTTGGCCTACGCCTGGCTCCTCCTCCTGTAGAACTTCCTCGGTACGACATTCCATGTTTTGTCCGTTCATTACCGAGGCTTTAGTGCAATCATGGAATGCCCATGTTTTTCTTAAAGATAAATTCATTAATTACAAGAAACTGCCTCCTACTATCTCGCTTTTTTATGCATGGTCCCCACTCGACACATTATCTATATGCCTTCGTAGCTGCACATCAGACCACCAGTCTCTTTCATGCCAGCGTTAGTCAAATATTTTTGGCGCCACCATTGAAGCTGATGTTGTTTGGGCGGAAGTATTACTGAGCTGACGTATGATTGTGATTTACTAGTAGAAATAATAATTCTCTGGCAAGCATCATCTGCAATCCTCTTGAACCGGCATGGAGCTTTGGAGGATGCCATTAATGACCTGGCATGTGTCTTAGGACCCTAATAGATCATAACATGATCAACAGCATGATCACGTGAAGGATGAAGCCATGACTGGGAATGATGCGATGTGGCTGATAATTTCGAATGTTGTTTCCAGTAATATTTTCTGAAAGAGGGGTGAATTCTATTAAATAGGGGTTATTTTTGCGTTACAGGTCATGCATGCCAAAACTCTTGAAGCTGCCTTGGAAGCAATGGAAATTGTTTGGGTGAATTGAACTAAGGAATAATTCATCACGAACATTCAAAAGTTGTTATGTCAATAATTGTCATGGCCCATTCAAGAGCACTGGATAATGACCTGTTCTCGGGATGGTGTCATTATAGGTCAAACGATATACATCATTCTAATATATAATTCTGTCAATCATTCCGGGAATTCTTCCTAGACCATCTAGGAGGAGTTCATCCGTTCATCCGTGACGTATGAACGGATTTTCAATCGAGACCTTAAAACCTGGAGGCGATGGCTATCGGGTCAAAAGTCCAACAGCTTTGATGCGGAAGAGTAAAGCGCATTCTGTGTCAAAAAGAGAGGAAGGCGCGGCGTGCCTTTGTCATGGGAAACCGTGTAAGAAAAGTTACATCGAAAAATCTGAAACTCATTAAAATTTCCTAATACACCAAAAAAGCCTCATTTTTTTAGGAATGGGTAGTTTGAATTCGATGTCCGGCCATATCTCACTCTTATTCGTATGGATCATTCCACGCAAAAAGTGACATATGAATCAACGTTTCAAAACGAATGGGCAATCCAACAGTGGATGTCGTCAAAAAGAGCACGTCCTCAAGTACAAATGATTCAGTGCTACGATCATCGTGATTGGGATATCAAGCGACGTCGCCATTTTTAATTTAAGACCCCCAACATGGCCATGTCTCTTCTCTTCATGGGATCCATTGTTTTTTTATGATTTCATGAAGATGTCACTTAGGCAAGAGCATAAAATCTGGGAGTGTGTGCTTCGCATATACGATGCGTTCTGTCAAATGAGCCATCCTATCCTCAGTTACCGATCCAAATGAATCTTCTGCGACGCCTTGAGGATGAATGGATTTTCATGAATAACATAAGTCACGAAAAGTGCCATTTTCATTGTCACCACTCAGTCTTTACTTTCACGAGCAATTGCTGCTGGTTTCTCCTAGCTATATATTATTCCAATCGAACAAAATAGGACTTGGACCATGAACTGCATTGGTGCAACATCCATTGACTGCGCAACTTTTGTACCGTGCGTCACGAGTGGCAGGAGTCCCACATTGATCTTTCTCTACACTGATTTATTGTGTACGCGAACAAAATAATGCAATAAAGTAATGCTGAAAGGCAGAAACGAAGGAGAGAAAAGCAGAAGCAAAAAGGATAGTGTGATGAAAGTATCATGTAAGCGAATTATAGTGTTCACAAAAAAACAGGTAAACCACTCGAAATCTCTTCTCTGGGCATCTAAATCCTCATATAACTTACTATACAATGTTGGGATATGTATTATGTATTTGATTGACACGAAAATTGTGAAATTCATTCCAGTCACTGGGAGATGTCTATATTTTAAACTGAATCTGTAAGTAAATTCACGGTGCCCCGGCTGGCTGTTCCCAGTTGCGGATTTCCCCCGCTCACGTCCCCCCTTGCACAATCATCGCGAACATACTCCTTCCTCATCCCCTCCCTCCCCGCTGCTGAGCCTCTCGTTCCAGGACGTGCATGGCACCCGCCTTCTCGTCCCCTGTCTCGCCGTGTAGACGTATGACTGGGATAGAGAAGTAACTGTTTTCCGTCCCCTCTACCTCATTGCTCTTCATAATCCCATCCACGATGCAAGGTACTGAATACACTCTCGTTTTCACTGGTTCATTCACGCTTTTTGTATGAATCCTTCATACATCAAGTTTTACGTATGAAATACTGAGTCAACAACAAGGGATAATTTTACTTTATGAAATTTCATTTTGCAATGCAAAGGCTGTGGAACTCAACGGAACTGGGAGCTTTGTCGTCGGAAAAGTATACTGCATACGTTTAGCTGAATAGAATTTATGATCATTCCCGCTGCTATCAGAATTAGTGCCAGATAGAAGCAATGTGTATTTTTCCTACGGACACCGTTTCTCTAGGGGCTTTTGAAATTGAAGTTTCAAAATTGGAATGAGTAAGTTATGGAGGTTCCATCGCTGTTTCTTTGCGAAGGAACGCGTACAGCATATTCCGAGATGTTCGTTCCACGTAGCTGAAAATTCGGATTCGGGCACTTTACTGGGGAAATTTCTCGGCAAGTCTTGAATGCTCACAACGTTTGGAGCATTATGTGGCTCCTCTTTGTGACGGTGGTATTGACTTATACGAATGAGGGCAGGAATATGGATTCGGCATACTTGATTATCTTCTCGGCAGATATCACTTATGTCTCCCAGGACACAATCAGGCTTCTAAGAAAGAAAAACGTTATTGAAATATACTTATGTAATAAATTAATTACCGTGTATGGATCCATTTTTCCCCCTATTTATGCAATTTCATGTAGGGGATGCCGTTTACGATAAGTTATTGTATATGGTATATGTCTCCGCTCATCGAACTCGAGCAATAATCAAACGAAAGGTAAGGCTTCATTTACCCCCCCCCATTTTAAAAATTCTCTTCCCATTCCCTTAAAAGTACTGCAGGAATGCAGATAGGAAATAACTGCCATGAATAAGCGTTCCTCGTCCTTTAAATATTTCACTTTTTATTATTATCCCACGTCAACCTATTGGAAGTGGACACGGTGAACAACAAATAATAGAAATGACGAATGAATAACACACTCTAGGTTCATTATAGCTATGGCTGTACCGAAGGCCATCTTAGGTAGTTGGACAGATGGGCGATTTTCATCTCATAGCCATCGGCCGGTAACAATTGTCGTCTGAAAGTTGAAAAGTAACAGGAAAATCCTTTCTAATTCAATAATAACGGATCCATCCCATGAGAATGACAAAAATTAAGCACTCCTACATTCATAGGTACGATGCACCCTTTTTATTTCGTACCATCTAGCAGTTCTTAATGTCGCAATATTCCCATTCAGGATCTGTGCCCTCTCCGTTGTAACACCAGGGACCCGACTTCTCAGGGTCAGGATTGCGACAGTAGTTGTTATGACTGTCCATGCCGGGATCAGGAAATGCCGGTAGGTACAAGATGGTCCAATGTTCATTTGGTGTTTGGCTGAGCCAGGGCTGGCACTTCTTCCCAGACTGTGTCACGTTCTTCAACCCTAAGTACTCTCGTCCACTATCCGTGTGTTTGCATTCCGCTGGCTCTATATGGTCAAGGAATCAGGAAAAGATTAAGTTGATTATATGGAAGCAATCATAGATGTGATTTTATTGGTTCGATGAACGAGGAAATGGCAAAATCATTGAATGAGGAAAATGATGGAGCTTAAGAGAAAGCATTATTGGAAAGAATGATAACGAATGCACCATTAGTACGAGTGGCTAAAAACAAAACAAAAAGTAACTTTCATGTCTAAGTCTTGACGGTCAGATTAAAACATTAAACCCACTAGGAGGGGATGCGTTAGTGCAGATTTGGATCATACGACAATGCATCAAGGAACAAGGGAAAAACGGCAGTAGGGAAGCAAATTACCCTTACCGAAAAGCCTGTCTATTATTTCCATTCATTATAATATTTTCGCTGACTCAGGGATAATTCAATACTGAGTCTCGGTTCTGATAACAATTTTTGGGAATACCTGAGTTTATAAAAGTAAGGTCCATATGGGGATGAACCGTAAACATAAAGGAAATGTGCCTAAAAGCAGTTCCTCAAGAAATACTGGATTACAAATTATCATTGAGCTATTTCTCCACTTCGAATTTTCTTGCTGCGAAAATATATTCAGTATGAAATTCTGAAAAAAAGCCATTCCGGATAAACCCAACACCTAAAAGCTATTATATTGGTATGATACCTATATTGGTATCGAGAGAAACGCTTGTGCAACAAATTTCAGCTTGCGATGATTACATTTTTCTAAGAGGCAGGCAAATCTTTATTTGAAGTACGTCCTGATCAAAATACGTGCCAAGAGGGGACGTCATCTATATTTTATTGAAATCATCCCTCAGATGGTGTCTTCTGTGGCAAAATTCAAATATATGCATATGCCCCAATTTCGTCAGGGCGAATACAAAAATTTTAATGTTTCCCTCGCATAAACCGCCCCGAATGAATATATTTCAAAAGTCAAAAAAATGTTTGTGCTCATTAATCCGACAGGTACTTCTGCTGCAAGTTTCTAATTTCTAAAGTTCTCTCTTTCATTGGATAAAAAGATTCGGGAAATGCGCCTTTTGCAAAAAAAGTGATCTGAGGGGTTTCATCTATACATAATATATTTATTAAAATATGCATTGTAAACTACAGGTCCCCCAACTTTCAACCTTATCCATTTCACCTTTTTGCAGGTAAAAAAATATTTTTTTTAGAAAAACAAACCCAAAAGCTTTGCCTTGAGGGGATGCACCACCAAAGCTGAGATTGTGCCTGCACCAAGTTTTACCGATTTCTGCCCAATTGAATAGGACAGAATAATACATTTTATACTTCGGCCCCAAAATGTATGCCCCAAAGGAATGCATCGGAAACGTACAATCACAATCGCAACGGGAAAAAGTGTAACCCCGAAAGAGAGAGACGCCCAAGCAGCATGTTAACGTAAACAATATACGATTTTTTTTGCAAACAATGTACATTTCTTGCGATTGCCATGAAAATGACATCACGTTCGTGTAACACGTATTTACGTCCCTTTATTTCCGTCATCAAAGTGTACGCGTATTTTGCATGAACTAGACGTCACTCCATCTGACGTGAAGTCCAAGATATCAAGTTTCTGCAAAATTAACGCCATACCATCGATATGAAACTTTAGCTGACCATCCTGCTTTTGCGGTACTAAGATTCCTCACTAGATGAAACCCTTCTTCCCTGCATCCTACAAATACTATTAAGTACTAACTTTCCTCATACAGTATCAGGTTTTCTGACCATCCTTCCACTTTCAATTATGCAATCCATGAATATACAGTCGAACTCGGTTATAACGTCATCGAAGAGACCAGATAAAAACCGTTGCTATAACCGAGGTTGCCTTTATTGGCACTCCGTTTTCCTATTTTCAAAATTGATGCTATATAACGTTATAACTCCAGTTTACATTGGTCATACTGCACTAGCTTCAGTTTCAAGATTGACACTCTAATCGTGATGTACGCACATAGACCTTGAACTACTATATACTTTAATAAGGCTTCGTCGATGTCATCTCGACAGACCTAGGAAGTTTCTTGTTTTGTGACATGTTCTCGTAAGCACGGATGAAGCTGTCACGATTTTCCAAAATTGTGGAAACAGATGAACAGATGTCCATGTTCGCAAGCGACGTTAGCTTCACTTCGAGCTCGTTCTATTAAACTAAGCAAGCTCACTTTCCTTTCAATCGTGAAGGCTTACCTCTTTCGTTTTCCATCGGCCATGTTGTCAACGAGAAATGCAAATGACGATTGAAGATAAGGTGATCTTACTGGGGATTATCCCTCCCTAACATTGCTCTAGCCACAGACACGTGACTCTCAAGGAATGCCGAATCCAGCAAATATAAAGTTATGGCTCGCCAACGCTAATTTTTCTGCTGACGGAAATTTTAGTTTAAAATGGCGGATTAGTGCCATGAACGTTGTCGATTTCGTCTGTGGGACCTTCATTGGACTTCGCAATAATCGAGGTAAAATGTAACGCGCCTTATGGGCTCGACGCCGGGACCTAGCGCTTTCGTTGTTATAACCGAGTTCAACTGTATATATACTAGCGAATCTGGTCGCGACTTCGGCGCTCCATTACCTTGGATAGTGATTAATTCATTTATTCTTTGCGAAATGGCAAACACGTATTTTAAGAACGGCCCCATTGAAATACGTGACGTATTGGGACGAAAGTCTTGATTTTTATCAAAATCATTACATCAATTTTTATAGTTTACCTAACTTGAAATATTTTCATGTCTCCCTTTTGTAAGGGTGGAGAATAGATTTTTAAATAGTTCCCTCCAATAATCTACGCTAAGGGGGCATATTTCAAATTTAGAATTTTTCCTGTACTTCATCATCAAACAGGTACAGGAAAAATTATGTTTGGAAAAACAGACCCACCCTAACGCTATGACAGGAGGGGATGCACCATTAAAGCTGAATACTCCCTCATCTCCGTAATATCATGTCACTTATACGTATACCGAGTTTCATCTTTCCGTTTCTGTACAATTTGCCCCGCCAATTTTTTTCCCAAAACATTGTACGTCGAAACGATTCCCCCAGGGGATTTATCGAGACTTAATATTTTTCCATAATTCCTTGTCCCAGCAGTCACATTAATACAAAGTTCCAGCTTTCCGTGTCTATTGGTTTAACTAATGCAAAAAAATTATGTGAAAACATCTCCCTTCGAAATTCATGCCCCCAGGGCATTTCATACCAAAATCTGAATTTTTCTGCACACAGCATCCCGGTAGGTGATTATGTACCAAGTTTCATCTTTCCACACTAGCTCAATACACCAGGACAAAAAAAAACACTTAAAAACCTTGGCCCCCGAAAATATGTCTCCAGGGCATGGATCTAAAATTTTGCATTTTTACTAAACTCATCGTGTCAGTAAGCACGTCCATGCCATGTTTCAGCTTTCCATGTCTCTCTGTTTTATTCAAGCAAATGGACATGGAAGGCAAGAGAAGCAAAAAAAATGCACGGAAACCGCCAGGACATGAACCCATGCCTCACAATTACTGGTCAGATGTACTACCACTACACCACCGAAACGGTGACGTACAGTAGCACCTCTCGATGACATTCTTATCCATCACGATGAATATTTTAAAAAATTTCTCCCCCCAAAATGTGTACCCCAGGGCATGTACCTCCAAGGTCGGATTTTTTCTGAACTCTGCAACCCAAAAGGTACATGTGCATCAAGTTTCAGATTTCTAATATTACTGGAACATGGTTAGAATTAGCGTCATTCAGTCAGTCACAATCGTCTATATATATCAAATACTTGCGAGTTTGTTTGCCCTTCGGGCAAATAAACTCGCTTTGTCGCGCCTTCGGCGCTCCATTACTATAGATAGTGATTAATTCATTTATTCTTTGCGAAAGGGCAAACACGTATTTATAGTACGTCGCATTGAAATACGTGACATATGGGGACAAAAGTCTTGATTTTCATCAAAATCATTACTTCAGTTTTTCTAGTGTGCCTAACTTGAAATATTTTCATGTCTCCCTATTGTAAGGGTGGTGAATAGATTTTTAAATACTTCCCTCCATTAATTACACTAAGGGTGCATATTTCAAATGTAGGATTTTCCCTGTACTTCATCATCAAACAGGTACTTCTAAGGGAATTTTATATTTTCTGTTTCGTTGGATTGAAAAATAATTCACGAAAATGGGACTAAAAAAAGTGCCCTAATGGGTTTTCACGAATTTTTTTTCTTCTAATATATAAAGACGATCGTGACTGACTGACTGACTGACTGACTGACGCTAATTCTAACCATGTTCCAGAAAGGTTAGAAATCAGAAACTTGGTACACATGTACCTTTTGGGTTGCAGAGTTCAGAAAAAATCCGAATTTAGAGGTACATGCCTTGGGGGTACACATTTTGGGGGGGAATTTTTTTTTTTATATATCGTGATGGATAAGGATGTCTTTGAGAGATGACTTTGTACGTCACCGTTTCGTTGGTGTAGTGCTAGCATATCTAACTGATAAACGTAAGACATGGGTTCAATTCCCCGTCACTCCATGCATTTTTTGGCTTTTATTCTTGCCTTCCATGTCCCGTGGCTTGAATAAAACGGAGAGACATGGAAAGCTGAAACGTGGCATGGACATGCCTACCGATACGATGAGTTCGAACTTTGTATGAATGTGACTACCAAGATAAGGAGTTAAAGAAAAATGTTTAGTCTTGATACATCCCCGGGAGGAAAATTTCTCGAGGGGCGATGTTAAAAAGAAGAAAGAAATTGTCCAGGCGAATTCGACAGAAATGGAAAGGTGAAACTTGTCACACGTATAAGTGACGTGATATTATTGAGTTGAGGGAGTACTAAGTTTCCATGGTGCATCCTATCCAGGCATTGCTTTTGGGTGGGTCGGCTTTTCCAAACATATTTCACCAGCGAAAAGGGCAAACGCATAATATTGAAACTTTGTGGGCATGTAGTTCACTGAGGTTTGATTTCGGTAACATTTGTACTTTTTGGTTAAAACGCCCGAGGGCAGATGTTTGGAAATTTTCCTGAATTTTCTCATCCATCAAAACGGAGGGTTCTAGAAAGTTTAACCTTGGCAAAGAAGTACCTGATGAATAGCTGAGTAAAGAAACAATTCTACCTTCATCTAATATATATAGACGATGGTGACTGACTGACTGACTGACGCTAATTCTAACCATGTTCTAGAAGGGTTAGAAATCTGAAACTTGATACACATGTACCTTTTGGGATGCAAAGTTCAGAAAAAATCCCACTTTGGTGGTAAATGCCCTGCGGGTACAAATTTTTTGGGGAAACGTTTTTCTTCAATATATTTTGTGACAGATGAGGATGGCATTCAGAGAAGCTATTGGATGTGCTGGCTTCGGTGATGTAGTAGTACCATATCTAACTGGCAATCAAAAGGTCCGAGTTCAATTCCCGGCCCTTCCTTGCCTTTCTGTTAGTTTTGTTTGCCTTCCATGTCCCGTTACTCATTCCCCCTCAATAACATTGTTTTTGCTTGAGTAAAACGGAGAGACATGGAAAGCTGAAACTTGGCATAGACGTGCCTACCGAGACGATGGGTTCAAGAAAAATGCAACTTTTAAGATAAATGCCCTTGGAGCATATTTTTGTGAGCCAACGTTTTCAATATTTTTTTTTGTCCTGGCGTAATGAGCTGGTGTGGAAAAATGAAACTTGGTACATAACTACCTATTGGAATGCAGCAGAAAACTTCAGACTTTGGAAGTAAATGCTCTTGGGGGCACGAATTTCAGAGGGAGTTGTTCTCAACTAATTTTTTTGTATAAATTAAACTGATGAACATGGAAAGCTGAAACTTTGCATGAATGAGACTGCTGATGCAAGGAGTAAAATACAAATGTTACGTGTCAATAAATACTCTGGGGGAATTTTTTCGAAGTGCGATGTTTTCAAAAATAAAATTCTCGTGGCGAATTGGACAGAAATGGAAAGGTGAAACTTGGCACACGCGTAAGTGACATGATATTACCGAACTGGGGGAGTATTCAGATTTCATGGTGCCTCTCCTCTGGGCATAACTTTGTGTGGGTCGGATTTTCCAAACATGTTTTTTCACCAGCGAAAAGGGGAAACGTATAAAATTGAAACGTTGTGGGAATGTGAGTTCACTGAGGATGGATTTCGGTAATAATAAAAACATGGTACGTTTCGGCTAAAACGGCTCAGGGCACATGCTTTGCAAAAGGCGTATTTTCACGAATTTTCTGATCCAGAAAAACAGAGGGCGCGTGAAAGTTAAAAAACGTGGACAAATGAGTACCTGATGGATAGCTGCGTAAAGAAAAAATTCTACTTTTATTATATATGGATGATCGTGAGTAGCTGACTAACATAAGTAGCTATTCGCATCCTGAGTTCAAGAAAAGTTCTACTTTGGTGATGCATGCCATAGGGGCACACCTTTCGGGGAACATATTTTCAAATAGTTTTCTTTCCTTCAAACGGAGAACCAGGGAAATCTGAAAGTAGGCAAGAACGTGACCGCTGACGCACTGGGCTGAAATGTCAAACGTCAAATTTCCAAAATAGTTTCGGGGTTCAAATTTCTTGAGGACGAAACGTTTTAAAATAATTTTTCATATCCTACTGAATCGGGCAGAAATAGAAATGTATCTAGCGCACGCATAACGGACGCGATGTTTATTTAAGTAAAAATTCAACTTTTTTGTGCGTCTCCTCTGGGCACATCTTTTGGGTGGGTCGCTTTTCCAATTACATTTTTTCTGGCAGCAAAAAGGGAAACGTATAAGGCTGAAACTGGGTGGCATTGAGTTCCCTAAACCTACATTTCAAAAGGAAAAACATTTTCGTGAACTTTTTTTGATCGAACGAAACAGAGACAGAAAATATAAACTTTCCACAGAAGTACCTATTTAATGGCTTAATACAGGAAAAACCCTACTTTTGAAATATGTCTCCTTAGCGTATATTATTGGAAGGAAGTATTTCTAAATGTATTCTCCACCCTCACTAAAAGGAACACAAGAAAAGGTTTCAAGTTAGGCACACATAGAACCATAGAAGTAATGATTTTGATAAAAATCAAGACTTTCGCCCCAATATGTCACGTATTTCAATTGGGACGTACTTTAAATATGTGTTTCCCTTTTTGCAAATAATAAATCAATTCATCACTATCCATGGAAATGGAGCGCCGAAGGCGCGACCATAGCGAGTTTGTTTGCCCGAAGGGCAAACAAACTCGCTAGTAATATATATTTCCTACATGAATTATTAATTTCTTGTCATGCGGATGTTGCAATGTTGTTGAAGTCAATTGTGTCATTTTTACTGGTACATTTCAGTACAACTGGACCATTTCAGTCAATTATTTGTTCGATCTTAGTTATAATTGATATACAAGCATGGATCAGATCGAGGTCATTATTCTAAAAAATTTTATGAAGGAGAAGTGCGCCTTCTTACTACTCTCGGAATTTAAAAAAAGGGAACCAAATTAGTTCATTCTTACAGTTGGAGAGGACATTAGTGGTTCAGTTCTTAGGGTGAAAACCGAGCCAATTGGCTCTGGCTTCACAGTGAAATGGAGAAAAATGATTCTCAATGAAAAACAGGCCAAATGACTCGGGTACAGGACAGAATAATTCCATCCAGGGATCCAGGGCTGATACGCACTTTAGTATCAACACCGCAACAACATCTTCGCGATTATATAGACTATGAAGAGAGAGATGCATTGGGTGAATGCAGTATATTTGTAATAATTAGTTGATCACATTCCGCTCCAATTTCATTCGAAGCATTGGGGTACTATGACGCAATATACTCGAGGAGGGACGAGAAAGGCTCAATGGACAAAGTTCGACTAAAATATAATGATTTCACCCCAAATCTGGACTTGTACCAGATACTTTTGTCCTGAATAGCATCACTGAATACCCCACAACTAAAAATGTTTAAGACCGATATCGTCGAAACACATGATTCATTTCCCTTTTTTGTGGGATTGGAGGCCAAAGAGGTTGGGATATGGGAGATAAAGGATCGACAGTTAGCTATTTGATACTTGACGAAACGTTTCGGACAAATCAGGGATAGATGACATTCATGTAAGCCATGTGGCAAAATGAAGTGCCTTGCTGAAACCCGTTGTGGGAAAAACCTGAAGAAACATTTAAAAAATAAAGAGGTCGACTCCATCATCACGGTTCTGACTCTTTTATTTCTCCAAATTAAGAAGTTTCATGCGACCTCATGATTCGACTCGGTTCGTCATCAAAAATCACAAAAAAGTTCCTGTTTCATGAGCTTCATCGAATGGGACCCGTCGAGAAGGAAAGGTATTCTCAAAAACATTCATTTCACTTCCCCACGTGAGGCATGCCTACAAAAAATAACCTATTACGGTAATTATTGCAAGAACTAGGTCTCATCAACTTCAGGCTACAAAGAGTTTCTAAAGAGGAAATCTACGGGATTTGTCTCCATTGAACCATTAAAGGGAATTGAACTCATCTCTGATAGTTCGGCTGTCCTTGCGAACCTGTCAATTTCATTCAGAATCACGTCAAAAACTCCTATCTCTTCATTAGTTTCCATCTCCACCGTCGCAGGATGATGTGAGGCAAGAAAAATGAGGCCCACCCCGGTTAAACAGCATGCTGAATTAGGTCAAACACTAAGGAAACGATTTTTTTTAATTCTGCGGCCCGTGAACCCGCACTCCACAGGCTTTGCGGCCCCCATGACCCAAAACTTTGGGCACAACTGCTCTAGAAGCTCTTAGAGGAAGGAATGCGAGGAGGTCGAATTTTGTCTCGGGAAGGGATCGAAGAAAGGGAATAGACTCGGAAATGCCTTTTTTAGACCCCCAATAATTTTTCCGAAACTCCGTTCGGTGTCGTGATTCTAAAAAAATGAACAGCCTCTCTCTTACTATCGGGTATCACGCTGCTCTTTCGTCTCCTCTCGTTGATCACTTCCCGAGCAAAAGATATAAGACGAGAAATGGTCCGCGACAGGAATGTACGAAATGCATCTACTTCGCTTTCGCTAAAATCTTCGCTCTAGCCAGAAAGTATACAGCGATAGGCCGTAAAATGGCCTCTTTTCATTGTCATGGCAGACGAGTGAATGACATGCGAGAAAGCAGCAGCGTATCGGCATGAACGTGAGATAACCTCCTTCCTTCCTCCCCCCCCCCCTGTAGACCGTCCTCGCTAGCTTGCCCAGGCAGTAGAGGTGGAGATATTCAAGATTCAAGATAGTTAGTGATACCAAGAGGCGATTTCACCCATTTCGATATCACGTGTCGAGGTCGAGCGTTCATTACAGTTTTTCCCAATTGCTAGCGTCCGTTTCTCAAAACAACACTTCCGTTTTCAAAACAAATTGAACAAATCCCTGAACTCTGCAATCTTTTCACAAAACTTAACATCCGATTTCATTGCTAACGTACGAAAAGCGAAACCCCACCCAAAAGATGTGCCCAGAGGAGACGCACAAAAAAGTTGAATTTTTACTTAAATAAACATCGCGTCCGTTATGCGTGCGCTAGATACATTTCTATTTCTGCCCGATTCAGTAGGATATGAAAAATTATTTTAAAACGTTTCGTCCTCAAGAAATTTGAACCCCGAAACTATTTTGGAAATTTGACGTTTGACATTTCAGCCCAGTGCGTCAGCGGTCACGTTCTTGCCTACTTTCAGATTTCCCTGGTTCTCCGTTTGAAGGAAAGAAAACTATTTGAAAATATGTTCCCCGAAAGGTGTGCCCCTATGGCATGCATCACCAAAGTAGAACTTTTCTTGAACTCAGGATGCGAATAGCTACTTATGTTAGTCAGCTACTCACGATCATCCATATATAATAAAAGTAGAATTTTTTCTTTACGCAGCTATCCATCAGGTACTCATTTGTCCACGTTTTTTAACTTTCACGCGCCCTCTGTTTTTCTGGATCAGAAAATTCGTGAAAATACGCCTTTTGCAAAGCATGTGCCCTGAGCCGTTTTAGCCGAAACGTACCATGTTTTTATTATTACCGAAATCCATCCTCAGTGAACTCACATTCCCACAACGTTTCAATTTTATACGTTTCCCCTTTTCGCTGGTGAAAAAACATGTTTGGAAAATCCGACCCACACAAAGTTATGCCCAGAGGAGAGGCACCATGAAATCTGAATACTCCCCCAGTTCGGTAATATCATGTCACTTACGCGTGTGCCAAGTTTCACCTTTCCATTTCTGTCCAATTCGCCACGAGAATTTTATTTTTGAAAACATCGCACTTCGAAAAAATTCCCCCAGAGTATTTATTGACACGTAACATTTGTATTTTACTCCTTGCATCAGTAGTCACATTCATGCAAAGTTTCAGCTTTCCATGTTCATCAGTTTAATTTATACAAAAAAATTAGTTGAAAACAACTCCCTTTGAAATTTGTGCCCCCAAGAGCATTTACTTCCAAAGTCTGAAGTTTTCTG